GCAATGAGAAAGAAGCCAGGATACCAGACAAGATGCTTAGTACCTTGAAGGAACCAGTGCTCAGATACAGAAATGATGCTTGAGACATAAAAAAGTTAAAAAAAGTAGATTGGTTTGACATTTTTAATGTATATATTAGTTACAAGAAGGCCCTCTCTCAAAAAAAAAAAAAAACATAGTATAACTTGATGTGTTTAACAGTTCAGTTCCATAGTCCTTACAGCCAAGGGGAGGCAGTACAGTGTAGCATTAAGAGCAGTGCTTTCCCCTGTGGAGTCTGTCAGACTGCATTAATACCCAGGTAACTGCCATATGCTCTAAGGCTTGAGAATACTAAAGTTTTGATTTTAACTTTTGAAAATGATATATTTATCAAATTAGGCCACATGCAGAAATTACTCATACTTTTCTACTAAATTTCTTTCTGGTTTACAACCTTGTTCCTCTCCCTTTTTTCTTTCTTGTTTTAGGTTATCCAGACTGCTACTCAGATTGCCAGCTTTAAGACTGATGAATGCTACCATCACTGAAGAATTGTTTTTCAAAGGTCTCATTGGCAACATACGAATTGACAGTGTCATCCCACATATTTTGAAAATGGAGCCTGCAGATTATAATTCTCAAATAATTGGTCACAGCATTTGAAAGCTGCAACTGCAGTGCTGTAAACTTAATTGTTCTTTGCCAGAACACAAGACACCAAATTGAACTCATTGCTTCTGGGGCATCTGGAAATTTTTACTTCAAAAAGTAACCAGAATCCAAGGTATTTTTATTTTAGCTTCCTTAAGAATTTTTGAAGTGACTGGGCCAACAGCAGAAATTAAATGAATTTTTCTTCCTGATTCCTTTAAATGAACATGAAACACTACAAATTTATTCTTGGTGAAGATGATACCTGAAGCTGTCACCTCTTGATTATCTAAACTAAGCTCTCATTCTATTTTATAAAACAAATAAATTAGTCTCTTTTTTCTGAATTGTGTTCTAGTCATATTTAACTTCATTAAGAACTAGTAAAAATACTTAATGGTCAGAAATCCCTAAGGAGGAGTTAGTTCCTTGCATTTTACTCTGCCATAATAATTTTTATTTGTTTTAATTACCATATCAAAATAAGATCATTTTATGCTTACTGGTATAATGACAATATTAGAATTATAGGAAATAATTGAATATATATTTTTTGTCTTCTGTAAATATCATGGTGTCCCTTAGCGTATGTATACCACTCTCATTGCTGGCAGTGAGACAGGCCATTCATGATCTTAAGATTGACATTTTTAATGTATATATTAGTTACAAGCACCTTATATAGCAGAAAATTGTTTTTGAGAATAAGCTAGTGTTGATATTTTAATATTTTTAGCTTACTGCTCGTGTTTTTGTTTTTGTCTTCATTTATAGAGGTGGGTTTCACTATGTTGCCCAGGCTGGTCTCAAACTCCTGGGCTCAAGTGATCCTGCCTCAGCCTCCCAAAGTACTGGGATTACAGGCACGTGCCACTGTGCCTGACCTACTGCTGTCTTTGAAAGTAATAGAGACTAGCCAGCTGTGGTGGCTCATGCCTATAATCCCAGCACTTTGGGAGGCTGAGGCAGGCAGATTGCTTGAGCTCAGGAGTTCGAGACCAGCCTGGGCAACATAGCAAGACCCCATCTCTGTAAAAAGAAAGAAAGTAATAGAGACTAATTGAGCCCAAAATGTTTCACTATTTCAAAAAAGATATTAAAATTGTTGCTCTGTCATTCCATAAAAAGAATCTGATCTCTCTTCTACTTTTCTGACCTGAGTTAGAGCTTCCCAACCCTGCCATGTATGAGTTTTAGCCTATTTCTTTTAGGTCACTAAAACAACTCACCCAGTTTGTCAAATAATGGATTTATCATAGCCAGTACATGTTCTCAAGGCAAGTTTAAACATTATTTTGAAGCTAATGATAATTTTTTAAAATAAATATTCACTGATGTTTTTCACTGTAAAGCACGGGAGGGCTGCTTTAACAGCAGTGTAAGAATCAGCCTGAAGCCTTGTTACTGCTGCAACAAATGCATGTTAGACTCCTCGGATGTCTTCCACAGTGATTTATTTTTTTAGCAAACCTGATACTGATAACTGTTTCTTTGCTTTGATTTCTTGATGAATTATTTTGGTATGTTTGTTGCTTTTTAAAACAAACATGGATAATGCACTCAGAGTACATTTTTTGTAAAGATTTTTGCAATAGAAGAAAAGCTGAAGTTTTTGTGGGGATGTGGATTTTATTGCTTACTACTTCTTTCCCTATTTAAAACATGATCTTAGTCAACAATTTTATTTATAATTATCAGCTAAAGAAACTACATTTAGTATAATACTCAAATGGAAAAATCAGTAGTTTATACCTTTATAAATACAATGTAGTAAGCCAAGGAATCAGGGAACTAATCCTTTAAAATAATGTACTAATGGTTAATTAAGATGTTTCAGGTGTTTTTTCTGATTAAATTTGTTATTATATTTGGAAGAGTTTTTAAAACTATATTAAAATGTGACTTACATTACAAATTTCTGTGTCTTACCAATATATTTGCAAATATATTCATGTTCCTATTCAATGATTGCTTATCCTTTGTTTGTTCCATTGTGGTTTCATCTATAGCAAGTATAGATCTGCTATATTAAGAAAGCTCTAATAAGAATCGTTACTGATATAATAGGTGTTTTGGTTCTCAGGTGGGGTGATTTTAATTAAAGTACTTCCAGCAAGAGAAAAACATGGAGACATTTCTGTGTCCTATATTTTAGGGTTATTTGCAATTCAATTTGAAGACTCCCAGCTAAATACTGCAGATTAGCTTTTGTTTTCTTTCCTGAAATCTCAGTAAAATGTCCATAAAGTATAACTACACGATGACAAATGGAACAGGAGAGAAGAAATTAAAGGACAAAGTAAAGTAAATTTTTGGAAAACAAAATGCAGATAGAGAAAGAATGACTGATTTAGTAGAACCAGAACTAAAGAAGCTTTAACTGAGTGACTACAAAAGGCAATGCAATGAGAAAGAAGCCAGGATACCAGACAAGATGCTTAGTACCTTGAAGGAACCAGTGCTCAGATACAGAAATGATGCTTGAGACATAAAAAAGAAAAAAAAAGTAGATTGGTTGCAAGTCTGGATACAGAATAATTAGACTATCTTTCCCCAACCCTACTTAAGATGGGTGGAGGCCAGGCGTGGTGGCTCATGCCTATAGTCCCAGCACTGTGGGAGGCCGAGCAAGGCAGATTGCTTGAGTCCAGGAGTTCGAGACTACCCAGGGTAATGTAGTGAAACCTCATCTCTACAAAAAAAAAAAATTAGCCAGGCATGGTAGTGTGCAGCTGTAGTTCCAACTACTTGGGAAGCTGAGGTGGGAGTACAGCTTGAGCCCAGGAGATCGGGGTTGCAGTGAGCTAAAATCATGCCTCTGCACTCTATCCTGGGCAACAGAGCCAGGCCCTATCTCAAAAAAAAAAAAAAAAAAAAAAAAAAATCAGGTGGCCACTTTCTCTCCTCCCTTTTCAAGCAGGAGGAGGCCAGAGATTAATTCTTTGGAGAAACTGAACTGGAAGAGCATAGGACTTACAGGATACCAGGGATAACAGAAGGTGTGAATAAGATACAGGGTTGAAAATATGGAGGAAGTGAAAATCCAAATTTGGAGGCCGGGAGTGGTGGCTCATGCCTGTAATCCCAGCACTTTGGGAAGCCAAGGTGGGTGGATCACGAGGTCACAAGTTCGAGGCCAGCCTGACCAACATGGTGAAACCCCGCCTCTACTGAAAATACAAAAACTAACTGGGCATGGTGGCACATGCCTGTAATCCCAGCTAACTAAGGAGGCTGAGGCAGGAGAATTGCTTGAACCCGGGAGGTGGAGGTTGCAGTGAGTTGAGATTGCATCACTGCAGTCCAGCCTGGGAAACAACAGAGCGAGACTCTGTCTCAAAAAAAAAAAAAGTCTGCATTTGGTTGGTATGTAGGCTCCCTATCCTTTTCCCACGATACTGGCAATCAAGTACAGTTTTCTCTGCCAGGTTTTTTTTCTTTGGAGAAGCTAAATGGCCCCAGAGAAAAGATCTCCATTTTGGTTATCCCTTAATGATAAAAAATAATAATAATAAAGCCTGTTTGCCACCTTATCACTCTTCAGTGAAGCCCTCCAATTACCAAGTCGTGTGTATGTATTCGGTTTCCATTCAGCTCTTTAGTGCCCTATTATTAAATATGAACTTACAGCCCAGGATAGCCAGATATTTGAGGAAAATCTCTATCCATGAGAGACCAGATATGAGGGGGTAGGGAGCAGATACAAAATGCAAAGATCAGAAAAATATTCCCCAAATATAATTAATATCTTGAGAGAAACTAGATGTTGTATCCATAAAAGGAGAACAGAATGTTTCCCAAAACAAATCTGAAGCAAGGAATTGCCCCTAGAAATTAAAAATGACAGTCAAGGCAATTCATTAGAAGGACTGGTAGATAAAATTGAGGAATTCACCCTGAAAGTAAAACCAAAAGACAAAGGAATAAGAAACAGGATAGAAATGATAAAATTAGAGAATCAAACAAGATCTTTCTTTTTTTTTTTTTTTTTGACGGGGGGAGGGGGAGAGTTGAGTCTCGCTCTGTTGCCCAGGCTGGAGTGCAGTGGTGCAATCTCGGCTCACTGCAACCTCCACCTCCCAGGTTCAAGCAATTCTGCCTTAGCTCACCAGTAGCTGGGATTACAGGCACATGCCACCACACCCGGCTAATTTCTTTTTGTTTTTAGTAGAGACAGGATTTCACCATGTTGGCCAGACTGGTCTTGAACTCCTGACCTCAAATGATCTGCCCACCTCAGCCTCCCAAAATGCTGGGATTATAGGCGTGAGCCACTATGCCCAGCCAAGGTCTAACATTTTCAATACTAAGTTTAAGAAAGGGAAAATAGAAAAGGAAATTATTAAATAATGTAAGAAACGTTCCACAAAAGGACACTTGTCTGTAGGTGGAAATGATCCATCATTATAAATTTTAAAGGATATACCATCTTGAAATCACAATATAGTCAAAGAAGACAACTGCTACTTTTAGCAGTATAAAGGAATAGATACTCTGAAGGCCTCTGATCTGTTAGCTGAGTTCACCAAATTGAGATGACTTCCTAAAGAAGGCTAAGGTTGTTTCCGGTCAGTAGTACCCTCTGCATCCTGGCAGAAGCAAGTGTAAATCTTCTCTGGAGAAAATATTCACAATTGAGATCAGAAGTTGAGAAAGGAAATATTTTTGGCTTCATAGGCCATGCAATGTCTGTTAAAACGACTCGAAAAGTGCTAAAGTAACTATAGACAACATAGATGAGTGGGCATACCTGTGGTCCACTAAAACATACAAAAACAGGCAGTGGACTGGATTTGGCTCTTGGAGTATGGTTTACCAACCCTTAATTTAAAAATCTTGATATTCTCGCAGATTAGGCTCAACCAAATATGAGTACACAAAATTATCAAACAAGGAAATAAGCAATACATAAAGACCCTCAGACAATATTAGATCTTAAAATTGTCACATGCAGAATGTAACTATATAATATGTTTTAAGGAGAAAAAAAGGGAATCTAAAAGTAAACAAGAAACAGGAGCAGCAAAAATAACCAAGTAGATTTGAAAAGCCAAGAAACATTTAGAAAAAACTTACTGAAATTAAAAAATTCATGCATGGTGAAAGATGCCTTGAATGCATACATTTAACCCTAAGTTCCTTCTAAAACTGCATTAAAACAGCTAAAGGTTTGTGGGTTATATATATATATATATTTTTAGACACGAAGTCTCACTGTGTTGGCCAGGGTAGAACTCCTGGGCTCAAGCTATGCTCCCACCTCAGCCTCCTGATTAGCTGGGACTACAGGTGTGAACTGCCACACCTGGTTTGCTTTATGGTTTTTGTTTGTTTTTTAATGCATCTTACAAAGACAAAAAAATGGGACAGAAATAAATGATAACCACAACTTTTTGAAAGCTAAAAATAGATTA